CCAAACCTTCCAAGCTGAGGTGTGTCAGCGGATCCATCGACTTTTTGAATTTAGTCCTGACTGTAAGCAGCAGGTTTTAGAAATTGACTTGAGGGTTAATGAGATTGGCTCAATCAATTTTTGTTAATAAAGGTGCATTTCGCCAACTTCTTTTCACACATGCTTTTAGCATACCTTAGAATTCTTGAAGTTTCAGATAGTTATTAATCAAACCATACCGGCACCTAAAGATAAACTAAACACTGGCGGGCGCTAAAGGCCGTGTTTTCAAAGTAAATCAAATATTTCAAGCGAGTTGAGTGAAAAAAGCTGCGCTGAACATTTTTTGTGGGCCAATGAGGAGCTTAGCAATAGGAGAATGTAGCAAGAGGTTGTTTCAGATTCAACTTCTCAGATCTGCTCAATTTTACGGTCTGCACGAAATATGGCGAGCAGTGTTTCGGACAGGCTATTGCACAACAAGCAACATAGTTCTTCAGACACAACCTTCCAATTGACGTCAGGTCAGATTTGCGGGAAGTTTTGTTTACTTAACCCATCAACAGAAAGCGTTTATTAATTAATCTACACGCTACAGTAGCACAGAGTCCGAATACGCGTTAACCTTGAGGATGACATTAGCCTGATGAGATTCACGGCACATCGTGCAGAAACTACAAAAAAATAAGACACCTTCCACAGACACTGAAACTTAACTAAAGAATTTAACGTAGCAAAAGTCGTAGTCTCAAAACATGTAATGAAACTGTCTTAGTTACTAGGGTGAAGGCTAAAAACGCGATGGCGGTGATAGTGCTTGGTGAAAGGTCTAGTCAGTCTGCAGGACGGCCTTGAGGAGGAACGAGTGTTCCATCATGTGAATTGCCTTGCGACCAGTAGCTGGAGCAGCGCTTGGAGGGCGTCCGGCATACCTGGGAGGAACCACAAAGAAAACATAAGCATCTCGCCTACATGGTAAACATGAGGAGGCAACAATGATACAGCAGCTTGAATGTGTCGGCCCACGCGTATTCACAAACAGATTTATAATCTGGCTCAAACAAGCCCAATCAGAGTTAACCAGTCCCATAGTCAAAAATACATTAATAACACATACACACGCAACCACAACATAAGCTGAAAATCATGGAATAAAACGATCATTAGGAAGAGGAGAGAAGCTGATGAAGCGTATTTATGTAAGAAGAAAGCAATTTCAATAAACCGGCGATTAATATTATGCTAGCGTCACGAATAAAACCTTTCCGATCATGCTACCAGAAAAATAAAACTCCCTTTTCCCGATATATGCAACGATCGGGCCAAGAGAAAATGCATAAATGTCAATTTCAAGAAGACGGTATCATGTTACAAACATCTTGAGAGTTAATAGATTACTGAGGCAAGTTCTTGTTAAGTTTAAATTGTTCTTATGAATCACACCCAAAGTGCGAGCAAATTCAAAACAACACAATCGAATGATTTAGTGAGTCAATAAAAGCTAGATCGTTTCCAAACACAATGTAAGAGATCAAGTTTGGATTTTTAAACGTTGTATAAGCTTGAACGCATAGCACAAAACTAAAGATTCATGTTTCATTTAGTAAACAGGCAGTCATTTCAAATTCCAAATCTCCGGAACACGTCTATCGAATTCGTGCGTGATAATCGGTTCAACGAAAGGATTTTGCTAGATTATAGATTAACACGCAACAGCAGGAAGCCCTGAGTAGAGTAAATCTTCAAATACATAACATGTCTCGGAGAAACCTGAACTCCAAATAACGTTAACACATTGTTTATTCTGCGGATTTAGTTATGAAGGCTGCGCCGGTCACGCATGCGCCGATGTTAGTCACTACGGAGTGCAATCGGCCAAAAAACGAGGCTAATTAAAGAAATCCTTGTAGAAATAAATAAAAAACATCAATCAGTTTTTGTTTTGGCCGGAACGTCATGAATTCTACTTCTTCGTGCGACTTAAACCCATAAAATCGAATCAAAACTACCCGAAATCCTAAGCTTACAGTAATTTTGTGTGAACACGGTTAGGCATCTCTCGTTGAATGAGATGCTCAATGCGAGGTCGAACGTAGGACCAAGCACCATAGTTCTTGTGTTCTTCTTGAACCCACTGAACAGCGGCGTTAGGGTAGCGCTCTAGTTCTTCCTTAATCAGGTCGTAGGGGAGTGGAGTGAGCTGCTCAATACGAGCAACCGCGATCTCCTTGTTGAGACCGGCCGATTCAATGTGTTTCGCAATGTCATAATAAACCTAAAAGGAATGGGCAAAATTTAGTGTTGGGAGAGCAGACTGAAAATAAAATTCACACCGAGAAAGTACTAGGCATTAAAGCGAGTACATTAGTCCAAATCACGCGGAATATGTATTGACCTGCATGCCTGTTGAGCAGAATCAGTTAATAAGTCAACTACCATGTATCAGGAACACAAAAACTACCCACCTTGCCAGAGCACAAAATCAGTTTTTTGACATTCTCAGGAGCAGAACGGGCAGGACCAGCTTCGGGGATAAGACGCTGGAAAGTAGTGCCAGGAAGCATATCATCGAAAGATGAACGCGCGTCAGGGTGACGCAATAGGGATTTAGGTGTGAAAACCACCAACTGAAACAAATAAACAATAGTTTTAGTTCCAAAAACCCCTTCTTAAAAGGCGAGAGTCATATGAACTCTAAAGTAGACTTGAATTTTAGATATTAGGGCACTGCGCAAAGCGCTAAATAACTCACATCGAGCGTCTTTTACGGTTTCACAAACTGAAGTCGACTCGGTCAAGGGCTAACGATAAGGTTTACGTTTACAACAAGAAACTGAGTCATGGGAATCGGCTGTAAACACATCAGAAATAACACCTTTCTGGAAGCCATAATAAGGTGTAACATCCAACTTTGAGCACCATTTAAAATTAACCAACAGTGGAGCAACAATCACCAAAGGCCCAATGTTGAAACACACACATTCGAATCATTAAGCTACCGTAGTGGTTACATTTAAAAGCTGGCATGGAATTCGTACCACTGACCTTAGTGGAAAAAATAAATTGTTTGAATATAATCACACTAATTAGAAGAAAAAACTACCACTTCACAATAATGAACTTACAGGTTTACGGAAAGGCAATAGAATTTGACGACGCAGAACGTGGAACATGTTAGCTGGTGTGGTGCAGTTGGCAAGGATCCAGTTCGTTTCAACGAGTTGCTGTTGTGAGAAATGTTCCCCAAATACCTAAAGCCCAAACAAATAATTACTGCAATTAAACAGACTCCACTGTTATGTAACATGCGTAACCTAGAAGAAAGGAAGTCATAACCGATTTTACCAAAGTGATTATTGGTGGTATTTATGAAGCCAAACAAAAGTCTGGACTTTTAATAGTCCTTTAACTCGAAAGTCAAGGCAGTGACTATAGCATTCGGAGAAAAGACAAGGATTTAAGAAACAGAAAGGCACGAAGACAGTTTTCTACAATATTTTAACAGCAAATCGCCGAGAAACCTAAAAAAACAGTAAGTTTACCTTACAAAACTATTTCAACTTAGAAATACTAAGATTGGGGAAAAAATTAAACATGTGTTATTCACATCGCGTTGACTGTAGTCATTAAAAAATCTTATGCGCACCCTTCGACTGCATCCTCAACTTACTGGGAGGAAGCTATCGTCGTCATTAGAGAGCTGCAGGAACCGTTCCATTCGGCCACTAGAGTGCTCAGGGCCCATGCCTTCCATGCCATGGGGGAGAAGAAGTACAAGATTAGATTGACGGACCCACTTCTGTTGACCACATGAGACAAACAGATCAATCATGCTTTGTGCACCATTGGCAAAGTCACCAAACTGAGCCTCCCAGATAACTAGGGAGTTAGGATTCGTGAGGGAGTATCCCATCTCGAATCCCATCACGGCATACTCCGAAAGTGAGCTGTTGCAGATGGTGAAGGGTGCCTGGTTGGGGGAAAGGTGCTCCAACGGGACGTGTATCGATTTGTCAATGTCCTAAAATGAAGCAGAATTCTAGTGAACATGCATACTTGAGTATACGGAGTCGAATGAATTTGAAATAAAACCAATCTATTGTATTTTTGGACAAAAAGCACTACCACCATTTGAAAAGGGCGGTAAATGAGAGCACACTATCTGAGCGACACCAGCTCAAAACCGAAACGTGAATAACAAGTAATACAATTGTATATGATCGTAAGAAAGCGGTCATATTATTAGTACTGACAATACAACCCTAAAAAACCCAAGTCCCACATCAAAAGAGCTACGAAGTAGATAGTAGATGAGGATGGCATAATAAGAGTTCACAGAGATTAGACGAACAAGGGGAGAAAAAAACCCGTAAATTCACCAAAAACCAAAAAAGGTATAATAACCTGGTGATGAAGAACGGCATGTCGGTGGGAGAAGGTGCCGCGCTCCACATCCTGGCCGGAGACTCGGACGTGGTGGCCGGCCATGAGGAGAGAGCCATAGGCGAAAAACTCGCCGAGAGCCCAGTCAGCCATGCGGCTCTTTACCAAGTCGGAGCGACCTTTGAGCACACGCTTCAGACCGGGATGAATTACGAAATTGTCAGGGTAGCCACTCACTATTTCACCTAAATAATAACAAGGAGCAAATAAGGTATAACAAAACCCCCAAGGAAGGAACAAATCAAGTCAGTTAATAGGACAAACAACCAGCAACAAGGGGAGCCTCGCACCCAAATTTCATAAAAACACGCAAAGGCTACATAAGCATAACCCACCGATGTGCTTAAGCTGCGACTCTTCAACGCCGGTGGAAGGCAGATACATAGGATCGCGGTCTTCAAAGAATTTCTCCCACGGAGAGTCCAGCCAAGCACGATTGTAAGTAACAGTCTGTGATTTGGCCTCGGCGTAGGCGTCATCACAGATTTTATGGTATTCATCAATCGACGCCTGTAAAACATGATATTGTTGAGTGGGAATACCCAAATACGACAAGGATTACCAAAACTACACCACCGGCAATATTTAATTTTAAAACAAACTACGAAACCCAAGATTATAGCAAGTTACTTAGTAAATTGACACTAGACTGGGGCGACTTAAATGGCAATCTTTCCGCTTCTGTAAGCTAATTAAAGTACTAGTTTTCCGTCGACACCTGCACCGCATTCCCTTAAATAAATACATGGAAACAATTGTGAAAGTCGACAGTCACACTTAATGCCAAAAAACAACAGTTGAACTCTGCGAAACATGTCGAGCAAATCACCCACTAAGATAAACAACCATTCAGAAAATTACCTTTAGTTCTTTATCGGTGATGCAGCCTTCATCAAGAAGCTGTTTAGAATACTTCTCAAGTACAGTGGGCATTTGACGGATGCGCTTGTACATAAGAGGCTGCGTGAACATGGGTTCGTCAGTCTCATTGTGTCCGAATCGTCGATAGCCGACTAGGTCAATGACAACGTCCTTGCCGAAGGTGGCACGCCACTCGGCCGCGACGCGAGCGACATGGACCACGGCGTCTGGGTCATCGGCATTTACGTGGAAGATTGGCGAGTTGGTAACGCGGGCCACGTCCGTGCAATGCACGGAGCTGCGGGACATACGAGGGTCCGTAGTGAAACCAATCTACAATGGCCGCAAATTGTGAATTTCTGTGAAGCGATACACGCACATCAAAGGCAAAAATCGGGCCCTACACCCACGAAACTATCAAAAAGCCGGGGCTGACATCAGGTCATTAGTGAAGGAAGCTAATAAAAATCAGATCTTGAAATAACTGAAGGAAACGTGATATAAGAGAAGTGTGCCCGTATCCGACGAAACCATTAAGAACAAATTTCCTGGTTATGGCGCATTCATAATGAAGCACCAAAAAAATTAATGTCCTGAATATGCAACACACGATTTTAAAATTAAACCAAAACGATGGCAAGGGTTCACGTTAAAACACAGGATTCGAACGAAAACAAATAATTTACCCAGAGTTGAAGCTTGGTAATGCTTATCAAAATACGGCATAATAACTATAACAATCAAACTAAATAGACAGTATTCCAAATTATCGGTAGTCACTTTATACAATAAAAATGCATGTTCAAGTTATTGCACACATAAATTGCTACTTAGGACGTTAATCAAAGGCAAAGAATTGTTTAAACCACATGTGCATCCCAAAAGTCCCCAATAAATATCGATAGGGTCATAAAGTCATTACTCCAAGAAGGAGGAAATACAAAACACTGAAATAACTTAAGGACAATATTACCATTTACTTCCAAAATATAGTCATGAGCTAATTCATGCAAGTAAACATGAAATTACCACGATATATCATTTTAAATGGGAGGTTTTGATTAGAAAATGTGTAACCGATAGCAAGTAATCAGAGTTTAAGAAAAATCAGAAATAAGCTAGAACTGCGATAGCATTAATAGACTAACCCACTCTTACCTGATTGTTTACGACAATGTGGATAGTGCCCTTGGTAGTGTAGGAAGGGAGATCACTAAGATGAATGGTCTCGTAGACAATACCTTGTCCGGCGAATGAGGCATCACCATGCAAGAGGATGGACATCACTTGCTTACCTTCGGTGTCGTTACTAAAATTGCCACCAATTGTACAATTAGCGATTGAGGAAGAAGGGCTACGAACAGGGAACGTGATGTCAATTATTCTACTTTTAGTTTATGCCAAAAAATCAAATGCTGGGTTAATTAGGAACCTTAACACCAAAAATTCAACCCCGGACCACGAAAAAGATGTCACGTAGTAGCAGAAATGATTTTATTGGTCATATAAATTCCTGATTGTCTGGTATTTTTCATCGTTAAATACCAACGTACAGGTCTCCTGATAACCAAAAAGTGGGTGTGCAAGGTGTCCAAAGCTAGGGTGATCTCAAAATAAATCAATATACCTTCTAATCAACACGGATTGCCATAATTTTGCACCAGCAAAATAGAAACAGTACTAATTCCGCTTCAATATCAAATGCCATTTTGCTTAAGACAGAAGACTGCTCTCAGGTCATTTTCACAAATTTGACTTGGTCCACCCAACTATGAGGTTAGAGCTGCATGGGTGTCTTCATTTACTAATGAATTAAAACCGGACCAATAGAATAGAAAGCTTACCGGTAAAACTGCTCAGCTCTTGTCTTTCCCTGAACAACAGGGTCGACCGCTTCCAAATGGCTAGGATTAGCGCAAACGGCGATGTTGAACTCCTTGCCCGTCTTTCTATTGATGCGTCGGTGACTCATCCCCAGGTGGTATTTCACATCGCCACTGCCCTCATCAGCTGCCTTAAGGCTCGAGTCAAATTGACAGAAGATATCAGATAATGGTTTGCGGCATACGTTTGCGAGCACATTCAAGCGACCCCTGCAAGTGGGGCAGGAATATCAATGAGTGGTGAGCCACATGAAAAAGTACGCACTGTAAATTATTTTAGAATTCATAAGCTTTCGAAAACGTTAATACGATGAAACTGCCTTATACAAGGCCAAAATACAGGCAAACAGCCCATTTTTGTAAGCAAAAAAACATACCGATGAGGCATGCCGATGATAAAACTCTCCACCCCACTTTGAATAGACTCATCAATAACCGTCTTCATCGCCGGGATAAGCATCTCGCAACCTTCAACACCGAAACGTTTTTCTGAACTCCACTTCTTTGCAAGATAGTCCTCAAACTTGCATGCACGCACCAGACGGTGAAGCAAAAGCTTCCTTTCTTCTGTCGACAAATTTGTTGCTCCTGGCCTTTCGAAACGCTGACGCAGCCAATCGCATTGCTTGAGGTCATTGATGAACATGTAGTCAACACCAATCGATTTGCAGTACGCATCCTAAATGGGTAGTGATTATTAGAAACAAACAAAAAGTACACCATAGAGGAATTATTAACCAACCTCAAGGCGATTTATGATCTCTTTCAAAGGCAATTCTGTTTGATCCCCCCCAATATGAGTGTTCAATGGGAGACGAAAAACCTTGTCCATATCCGGAACGCCTAAGAAACAAAGATAAGAAACATTTCTGCATCGTAACTAAAGGCAAAGAGAAAACACGGCCAGAGGAAGTGCTCTGGATGCAGATTTTGACACCAAGAAAAATAAATACACAAGATGGCAAACATAACTTACCAGCTTCGCCCAAATACCGCCCATAAACAAAATCTCGGACAGATTCCACTGACGATTTAATGTTAAGAGGGTCTAGTTTTGCGGCTAAATGTCCACGGACCTTGTGGAAAAAAGTAATTAATAGATTTAAAGCGGAAAGATAGATGACATCGCTTCAGTATTCAACCCACCTGATACGATCGAATTATCAATTGAACCGTTAAATGGTCTTCAATAGTTTTAGCATTCAAGCCAACGGGCACTGAAGATGGCATTGGCGCTACCATGAATGGTGCACTCATTTGTTCAAATCCGAGGGTCGGAGGCGGCGAGTAGGCAGCACCAACTGACGCCCCACTAGCAACACCACGAAAGTAAACATCCCATGACTACAAAATGTATCAAACCAAATATGCTATACTTTATGCACTGAGTTAGGATCCTTCAACCAGGCGGCATGAATGTCTTCAATGTAAGACGAGGAAGTACCGTTTAAAAAAGGTTCTGCCGCACACTTATGACGACAGCGAAAGCATGCCAAGAGATTGCGATGCAGTTGATGTGATTTCCGCGCAAGTCGAACAACAGGAAGATAAAGCATTACAAGACCAACGTAACGAAACTGGAAAACAGCTTACGAAACAAATCAAATAATTTTTACAAAGGCTGCGGTAGACTACAACAACAAATATTGTATATAAACAAATATACATACCATTTTTAAGGTATTCATTCAAGGGCGTAAACGTCAAATTTAAGTAAAAAAAACATGCCAAATTATAAAAAAAATATTCCTTTTTTAATTACTTATTTAGATTTCAACAATTACCATTTAAAGCTCAAATTTTCACCAACAATACACTTTGAATACAAAAATCAAAATCAGAATACTTATGCATAAAAAACAAAATTATTCTAGCTAAAGTTCATATAGAAGTCCAGATACATCTAATACAAAAGCTACATCTAAACCACTAGCATATTACTACTGATTTATCTCTTTTTGCAACACAGATTTTGCTGAATCACTCT